TTTTTTTTTGAGACAGGGTCTCACTATGTGGTTGAGACTGACCTGGAACTCACTATGTAGCCCATGCTGGTCTCGAACTCACATCGATCCTCCTGCCTCAGCCTCTCAAGTACTGGGATTACAGGTTCCACCTGGCCCAGCTTGCACCTGCCATTGTTTATTCCCATATGTATACCTTTCTTTTGCTTCCTTCCTTCCTTCCTCCCTCCCTCCCTCCCTCCCTCCTTCCCTTTCTCTCTCTCTTTCTTTCTTACTTTCTTTTGTGAGACAGGGTCTCATTTTGTAGTTCAGGCTAGTTTTGAACTCACTGTGTAGCCCTTGGACTCGTGGCAGTCTTCCTGCGGCAGCCTTCTGAGTGCTAGGATTACAGGCCTGTGCCACCATGCCTTACACACATGTCTGTATTTATTCTCGTATCGGTTCTCTGACATTTTGGCATCTGTACTTGATGATACTGAGTTCATCCCATCGCCCTCCTTCCAGCCCATCACCTGGGCTCCTTTCTGGACCCCCTTCCGATGTTCAGAACCACCCTCCCCGGTCACCCTCCTACATGTCCTCCTCCCACTATGCCCTTCTGGCCGGTGGGCAGCCTTTCCTTGCTTCCTCACCGGGAAGCTGGGAAGGAAGCCAAGTTGCTGTGAGCAGAGGGTGGTATGTGGCCAGGCATGGTTTTGTGGGAGGCCCTGCTCACATCTGCACTCCCCAGCCTTTTGCTGGCCACGGCTGTGGTCTTGTTCCTGTCCACAGACCCCTCCCAGCCCACTTGGGGACGTTCTGCATCTGTGTCTCTGTGTGCTCTCTTCCTAGCGGGCGATGATGAAATCTCCTTTGACCCCGATGACATCATCAGCAATATTGAAATGATCGACGACGGCTGGTGGCGCGGCGTGTGCAAGGGCCGGTATGGGCTCTTCCCGGCCAACTACGTGGAGCTGCGGCAGTAGGCTGCTGGCCTGCCTTCCGGCACCTGTGCGAATTCACACTACAGATCTTGCCTTCGCTGGTTTGGGGTTTGGGGTTTGTATTTTTGTTTTCATTTTCTTTTCTGAGGGTGGGAAGGGGAATATACATATTGCTTTTATATTTAATACTTTTGCTGATGCATTTGAAAATGTTTATGCCACAGAATTTGCTAATATATTGTAATCATGATCCTTAGGAGGACTTTGGTGATTGTTTTTGAACATAATTTTTTTTTTTTGCCAAATTGACTGTCCTGTATAGCCACTTCAGGGGCCTGTGGCTCTCCTGAGGTCTGTAGTGCATGTTGTCTGTGTGTGTGTCGCGACAGTCAGGTCTCCCAGGACTGACATCCATGTCTGCAGCTCTGGGAGTGGCTGCCCACAGAAGAAGCTTTCCGGAGCATCAGTGTTTTGAAGCGGAGGGAAGGGGCCCAGCCAAGTGTCAGGCAGGTGGGAACCGCTGGAAGGGGCACTGGCTTCCTCATCAGGCGGGAGACCCCACATTTCATCCCATGGGATCCCAGGTTGTCTGAGGCTTTCTCCTGAGCCGCTGTCCTGTCTTGTCCTTGTCTCTATGCCTCTCCTGACCCCTGAATCCTGCCCTGGTATGAGGTGTCACCAAGTCCTTCCACTGTTCCCTCACCCCTGTCTCAGACTCTGGCCCGCAGAGAAGGACCTTGGGCTTAGAGGTGAGCTTGAAGCTAGAGTTAGCTGCCACACAGGGCTGCTTCCTGGTCATTCAGACTCTGGGCTCTTGCAGTGGGGTGTGGTGTGTGCTTGGCTCGATGGCTCTCAGCTGTGGGAGGTCGGTGCCCTCTTGGTGTGAACTGCTAGAAGCACGCCCTCATCAGGGGTTGTGTGCTTTGCCAAGATCTCATGTTCAGTTAGTAAAATTTGAGTTGGCTAAACTCTGATTGGGAATAAGCAAGTGCTTCTTCCCAGTGTACCACGGTGGTGTCTCTGAACCACTACGCCCATATTGCCCACCACTTGGAGGGGAAATAAGTTCGTGTACCTGCCGAGACACTAGGCCCAGTCCTGTTTGTGTACATGATCAGTGGGACAGGTGTCTTTCCAGCAGATTCATAGAAATGTTTCAGTTGTTGGGGACACTAGTAGTCATGATGCACGTGCTTTCCCTCTGAGTGATTTCTGCAGAGTCCTTGCTTTTCCACTGTTAGGTTGGGTTTTATATACAACTTATTGTATCTGGATTTCTGTAGCACACCTCATAGGTATGATTTTTTAAAAATTAAATACTCAGAATAAACTTTTTTTTGGATCCATTTGCTGCATGATTTACTTTGATACTTGGTCACTTTGTTCTGGAGTTGAAGGTGGTTTTGTTGGTGTCAGTGTCTTATATTCCTGGATGGGCCCATTCTGGAGCTCCTTCCAGCCAGTGCCCCACACCCGTCTGCAGTTCAGGTCAACCACAGTCAACCAGAGTTTCAAGGGACTTGCTACTTTAGAGGCACTTTTTATCACCTGAAATATATTCTCAAATCTCCAATTATTTGAACAGAGTTTCCAACCAGACTAGAAAATGCCATATTTAATAATCACTTTTGAGCTACAACTCTCAAAATGAATACTTCAGTGGCTGCAGTGAAGTCAGAGGTGTTTTGTTCCTTTAGGGCACAACATATCAGGGTCTGAAGGAACCGGTGGCCCTGGCTCCTGGACCTGCCCTAGGCTGTGGCCAACCTACTTTAGTAAGGAAATAGCCAGTGGATGAGAGACCAGGAGCCTTTTTGGATACCCCCAGGGCAATGGTGAGGAGGCTTTGTGCCCCACCGTGGTTTCAAGTGCCAGCGCAGGATGGCTTTTCTCTGAGAGTAGCATCCTGCAGCCATAGTCTTGGTACGGATAGGCCCAGAACTGTGCACTCTGGGCAGTACCCTTCCTGTCTTGCTAGGTCCCTTGAGTATTCCTGCCTGCAGGGGCTGGGAGCAGGGCTTGGGAACCTCGTTCCACTCACACCCCCTGCCTGTGGGAACCTCCTGTGGAGCCTCAGGCTGGGCTTGTAGGCCTCTCCAGCCTCTGAGCTGGGCAGCAGCGCCTCCAGCATCCCACCTTACCTCCAGCAGTTTGATAAAGAGACCTTTGTCAGTGCTGCTCGTGGGATACAACTCCAAGAGCCCTGCTTTTCCTCCCACAACAGTCCAGGCACATCAAAGGGTACCCAGTGGGGAGGCCTGCCTCATGTTTGATTATGCTGTGGGGGTGGGAGAAGGAATCTGTCTACCAATGAAGCTCTGCCATGTGTGGAGGCAGTGCCCTCACAGTGAGGGGCTGGGCAGGTCTGGGCCAAGTGTGACAGGGTTGGGGACATGCAAGAAGGGTTTCCATTGGCCCACTGTTTGCTCACTGGCTCTGTGACCATAAGTGTGGCAGGGGCTCACCCGGACCAGGCCACATTGTGGACAGGTCTGTTTCTGTTTTGCTGGTGACCATTTGTGACCATGAAGCCCATGAAGCTGTAGCTCTGTCTCACATCTTCCATCTTAAGCTCAGATTCATCCCAAGACCCCCTCTGGTCTGAGAAACAACTCAGGGCCTGGGTTGCTGGGCAGCTTTGTGCTCTCAGCCACTGGAAGATGGAGGAGGTCAGGAAGTGGGTGGGTTTTCCTCCATTGATGCCCAGCCATGAAGATGATCCTGTGGTGTGTAAGGAACAAATGTCTCTAGGAAGCACTGCAGTTCCTGCTGGCCATTTTGGGGCACTCTGGTGTGCACACAGACCAGGGAGAGCTGGGTCCAGGTGAGACCTCTTGCTTTGCCTCTGGGAGATTGGCTTGCTGGTGATTGTTCAACTCGGGATGTCCAGAAAGGGACAGTGCAGTCAGTAAGTTACCGGAGCATGTCCTGGATGTTGGGCCCTGCAGGTAGAATGATGTGGGACAGGATTCTGGTGAGGAAGAGCTGGTTCCACCTTAGTGTTTACCTCCAGCTACAGATTGAACAGCCAAGAAGAGGGGAACATTGGTTCCATGAGGCTTCCCCGCAGAGCTGTGCCCTCTGCTCTTTTCCCCTCCAGATGCTGGTGGTGTTGGTAGGTGCTTTGCCACCTGCACTGGCTTGGAGCTAGCTTTGGTGGCACACTCTTGAGGCAGAGGCAGGAGGATCGCTGCAAGTTTGAGGCCATCCTGGACGCATAGAGAGACCCTGTCTCAAAAGAACCAAAACAAAAGTTACCCACTTCTTTCTAGTCAGGTGCTTGCTAGAGTCATTTTACTTGCTCGAGTATGGAATTTGCCACGAGACATCTTCCCAGCTAGATGTACCAGGTACAGTGTCACATACCTGTGGTCCCAGCACTCAGGAAGCTGATGTGCCAGGCTTGCCTGAACCTAGGCAGGTCAGCATGGGCAACATAGCGAGCCCCAGCTCAAAGTAACAACTGAGTGGAAGTGGACCGTGTATTAAAATATGATGCAATGATAACCTTTAGTAATTTGTACTTTTCTTTTTTTGCTTCTTTTTTTGGTACAGGGGATCAAACTCTGGACCTCGAGTTTCCGAGGCACATGGTGGCACCACTGAGCTAAATCCCCCGCCCTATTCTTTTCTGGAGACATTAGGATGCCCTTGGGTTCTCGCCTCCATCCAGTGTTTTGAATTCTGTTTTTTCTTGTTTTCCCATTGGTTATTTCTTCTGATGTGTTTGCTCTGTCATGGAGAAAGAAACTGCTTTTGATTATGATTGCAAAAGTGACAAGAGTAAGGAACATAGTCAGATACAGTAAAAACAGGCTGAGAAGTGAGATTGTTTTTCCTGCAGCCATTATCATTGTTGTAATAGTGCTCATTCAATTAATGTTTAAAAATCACATGAGACAGCTCAGTTGTCTTTTGAGCACTGTAAGATTTCCTACAAAGAGGAGTCATCTCTAGATTTAATGTTGTTTCATGTTGTTAATATTTTCTCTGTTAATTAAACCTCCTGCTACTAAACAAGGAAGTACCACCTCCCAGGTGCTCTGTGAATGAGACTCATGCAGGCTCCAGTAGGCTCCAGTAGGTTCCTTCTGCTGGGCAGAATAATGGCTCCCCAAAGATGCCCACGTCCTAATGGCCGTCCTATGAGTATGTCCTGTCTGGCACAGGAGAGTTAGGCTGCAGATGGAAGTAAGTGGAGGGGGCTGGGGGCTGGGGGCTGGGGAGTCAGTGTCTAAGGGGCACAGAGCTTCCGTCTGGGGAGATGAGGAAGTTCTGGAGATGGACGTGATGATGGCTAGACAGCAGTGTGAATGCTTAATGCCCCTGATCTATGCACCTGAATGTGGTTCAGATGCGAAGTTTTATGTGTGTTTTACCATAATGAAAAAAAATATTTTGTTTGTTTGTTTAAGGTAGGGTCTCACTTTTTAGTTCAGATGGCCTGGAACTCATT